AAAAAAAAAAAAAAAAAAAAAAAAAAAAAAAAAAAAAGGGAATCTTTCTTTCAAGAACTTGATATGGGGCCGGCTGCTCGTAGTCTTTGGTGGTGGCTAATGATGGACAGATGTTAAGCTTTTCTTCCAATAGAAACACAGAAACACACACCAAGCAGTATTGAAATGGAATACTAATCAGACCGCAGAGCGTGCATGGGAGCAGCAATTATGCCGTTTCCGTTTCCCGCACTAACTACGTTGAGCTCAACGCTAACATTAGCATGCTAACTGGATCGCTCAACTGTTATGATTTAAGATCATATCAGCCAGACGGTGATGATGCTCAAGGGCTCAGGGAGCTCTGCTTTAGGGAGGTTTGTGATGAGACTATGCAGATCCACTATGAACTTTGAACTTGCATTCCGACCCACTAACCCTCCAGTTACCGCTCCCTCTCTTGCACACGTCATCCCCGAGCATCTGCTTGAACCGCCGTGAAAACGTCTTCATAGGCGTCTGAAACAATCAGTCACGGCTCGACAGGGAGCTCAATAGACAGACTTAAGTAAGAAAACACCGTCTGTCACGCTTGATGTCTTCATCAGTCCGTCCGTTCGTGCTGCTTTTCCAGCACAACTTGAACACAACTTCTCGTGTGACTTTGTGATTGGTTCTCATGTTGCTCGCACCGTTTCCCACCGAGGATTCAACTTGTTTTTGTAAACAGCACTTCAACGCACAAGAAGAGAAAGAGGTAAAAATAAGCAAAGTTTAACACGTTCCATGCAGTCTGATTTTTAACACATTTACCACACCTGGAATGGAGTGTGTTCGCAGCTACATGCTCTCGTGTCACTTTTCATTAGTTATTCCTGAAACATGTTCATTACACATACGTGGCTGTGAACGCGTGACTGTCGATTTACAACTGTGGTGTGTTTAAGTTAAAAGAATGCATCTTAATAGCTGGTTCCTGCGTGGAGTGAGTAACAAAGGAAAAAAGAAAAAAGGCAGAAAAGACAAGAGATTGAGGCCAAAACAGAGGGAACGGAGACCCAAAATGTCATTTAATAAACAGGGAGAAGTGCAAAGGAAGGCAGCCAGTGAAAACCCAACAGAGAAAGCAAACAGGCATGCAGGAGAGTTCAGATCAGCTTTATTCAACAGAGGAGAAACAGGCAGGTGAGACAGAAAAGCAGGAGTACATTCCCTTAAAACAAATGTGGGAATTAAAACGGAAAAGGAAAAATAAAACACTATACAAATAGACAAAACAGGAAGGAGCAGATTAGGCCTTAACAGTCTGCAGACAACCAAGAGGGTTGAAGAGAAACTATGACAAAATCACAACTAATTCTAGTGAATTAAGACCGATGTGACGGAAAGGAGGCTGTGCACAGTGAAGGATTTAGTACTGCGCTGGGTTTATGGGTAATATTATTAAAAAAAGAGAGCTGAAAGTTCATACAGTGACAGTTAGTGGTGTTGGCAAAGGGGGAAAGCTTTTAACCTGATTAATGTGCGTCCACGCCATCAATCACTAGAAAACGTACTGTATTTACACATTAAGGAGCTGGTTGCAAAAAGGGAGGAAGTGACAATTTCCTTATAATTCCATTCAAAACTATTACATCATAGGAAGTATCCGTAACTTTACAGAGATTTAAATAGTTTAGATTGAGTGCGTAATTGACTTTTTGCAGCAAAAATGTCACCTGCACCCCTTTTGCAATGCAGCCTGCATGTACTGCACTGTACACACACACACACACACACACACACACACACACACACACACACACA